AGCCATCATTGTTGTTTGGCGGGCCCAGGCTGGATTCGAACCTGCCAGCTCAGGTGTATGTGGCTGGTGCCTTATCCGCTTGAGCCACAGGCACTGAGCCAAACTCCTGGACTTTTAACTTAGCCTCCCATGTAGCTGGGACTACAGGTGCCCAACACAATGCCTGGCAATTTTTTTAGAGGTGGGATCTCGCTCTTTCTCAGGCTGGTCTTGAACTTGTGAGCTCAAGCAATCCACCTGCCTTGGCCTCCCAGAGTGCTAGGATTACAAGTGTGAACCACAGGGCCTGGCCTGCTTGTGACATTTTTAAAGAATTTTTGGAATCCCAGAAAATGTTAAGTTAAAATTAAAGTGGCAGTGTCTGCTTATTATGAAAGAATGGTTGTCCATACTTCTCTCATCCCTTTTCCAGAGGAAAATGTTGGTTTATACTGAGCATGCTTATTTTTTTCTTTTAAACTTTATTCAAATTAATATGAGGGTATAATATTTGGATTGCGTTGTTCTCACTTCCAGGCAAAGTTCCATTTGTAGAGGAGCCCCTCACCCAGGGGGCGTGTTACACACCCTTACAATATGCACATTAGGTGAGATCCTGCCTTATGTCCTTCCTCCCTCTGCCGTACATCCTCCTCCCCCCCACTTCCCTTTACACCCGAACTGGACTATGGTAGTGTTTTGTATATTGATTTCTTATTAGTATGGATTATACTGGATATTCATCTTTCCATTCTTGTGATACCTTACTAAGAAGAATGTATTTCAACTCTGTCCAGGTAAATGTAAAAGATATAAAGGCTCCATCTTTTTTAATGGCTGCATAATATTCCATGGCATACATATACTACAGTTTGTTGATCCATTCATAAATTGTTGGGCACTTAGGTTGCTTCCATGACTTGGCAACTATGAATTGAGTTGAGCATAATGAAGAGATTCCTAAATAAGTCTTTAATTGGGGATAGGATCATCATGTTATTTTAACCTGGTTATGATAATGCATACCTGTGGTTCATCTCAGGAGGCTGAGGTGGGGAGGGCCTATTGAGCTCAAGAGTTTTGAGGTCAGCCTGGGCAACATAGCAAGATCCTATCTCTTTTTTTTTTTTTTTTTTTTTTCCTGAGACAGAGTCTCACTTTGTCATCCTTGGCAGAGTGCTGTGGCATCATAGGTCATAGCAACCTCAAACTCTTGGGCTCTTGTGTTCCTCTTGCCTCAGCCTCTGAAGTAGCTGGGACTACAGGTGCCTACTGCAACACCCAGCTGTATTTTTGGAGACAGGTTCTCTCTCTAGCTCAGGCTGGTCTAGAATCCTGAGCTCAGGCAGTCCACCTCCCTTGGCCTCCCAGAGTGCTATGATTACAGAAATGAACCACCACACCCAGTGATCCTATTTCTTTTTAAAAAGTTTTTTTAATTTACCCCTCATCCAGGAGGTGCGCATGTACATTTATACTGTGCCCATTAGGTGAGAGCGTACCAATCTCTCTCCCTTCTCCCTCCTCCCCCCAGCTTGAATTAAATTGAGTTTTTCTCCTGTGTGGGTGTTAGTTCCTCTACTGGCGTCATACTTGTATTGACTACATTGGATACTTGCTTTTCTGTCTTGTGATACTTCACTAAAGAGAATGTTCTGCAACTCAGTTTAATGCAAAATATGTAAAGTCACCATCATTTTATGGCTGAATAGTACTCCATGGTATACATATACCACAGTTTATTAATCCATTCACGGGTTGATGGTCACTTGGGCTGTTTCCACATTTTGGTGATTGTAACTTGAGTTGCGATGAACACTCTAATGCAAATTTCCTTATGATTAAATGATTTTTTTTCCTTCAAGGTAGATGCCTAGTAGTGGAATTGCAGGATCAAATGGGAGGTGTAATTTGAGTTCTTTGCGGATTCTCCATGCTTCTTTCCAAAGAGGCTGTATCAGTTTGCAAGCCCACCAACAGTGTGAAAGTATTCTCTTCTCCCTACATTCATACCAGCATCTGCAGCTTCTGGACTTTGTGGTGTGGGTCATTCTCATTGGAGTTTGGTGATATCTCAGGGTGGTTTTGATTTGCATTTCTTTGATGATTAGGAATGATGAACATGTTTTCATGTGTATGTTACCAGTTCTTGGCCTCGGCATGCATTGACTTGGAGATGGTGTTCTCCCTGTGTCTTCAGCGCTCGCTCTCTGAGTTCAAATCTCCCTCTGTATAAGGTCAACAGTTGCATTAGTGTCCAACTTGATGACCTCCTCTTGATCACTATTTCTGTGTAAGGTCACAATCATAGCTACTGGGGGTTAGGGTTTCACATCTTTGGGGACACAAGTAAACCTGTAACACTGGCTGTTAATCATATGAACATTCAGGTTATTTCTAGTTTTCTTCCATGTAAGTCAGTCTTGTGAAGAACATTCTTGTATCTATGTCTTTTGCATTTTTTTACAAAGTAAAGCAAGGTCACAGGATTCACACAACTTTGATAAATACTATGAAAGGAGCTATAGAAAGTCTACGCACTTTGTCTCCCACCTCAGTGCACGTGTGCCCATGCCTCACACTCCCAATAACATGTTGGGTTTTAACATTTTTTTTGACTCTGTCAGTCTTTTTATTATTTGTTTATTGTGGTAAAAAAAAAATAACAAAATCTATCTTGACCATTTTAAGTGTATAGTTGAGTAGTGTGAAGAATACAAACCTTGTTGGTTATGGATTGAAGATCTCCGGGATGCTTGTCATCTTGCAGATCTGAAACTCTGTACCCGTTAAACAGCTCTCCATTCTCCCCTGCCCAGGTCTGGGCAGTCCCCGCTCTTCCTCTTTCTGTTTTGACTATTCTAGGTACCTCACATATATAGGAACATGCAGCTGTCAGTTTGGGACTGGCTCTTTTCACTCAGCATGAGGTCCTCAAGGTTTAGCCATGTTGTACCCTGAGACAGGACTTCATTTTAAGATGGAATAATTATCTATTGTATGTCTATGTACTACCTTCTTCCTTACACGGACATTTGGGTTGCTTCCCTTTGTCAATTTCAACAGAGGTGAAAAGCACCTCTGTTTGTCTGCTGGGAAAAACAGGAGCTTTCTCTTGTGGATCATGCACCTTTTTAAAAGGTGCATGAAAAACCAGGCACAGGTGGCACCCGTAGCTCAATGAATAGGGCGCTGGCCACATATGCCGAGGCTGACAGGTTCAAACCCAGCCCAGGCCAGCTAAAACAACAATGACAGCTGCAACCAAAAAAACAGCCAGGTGTTGTGGCGGCACCTGTGGTCCCAGCTACTTGGTAGGCTGAGGCAAGAGAATTGCTTGAGCCCAAGAGTTGGAGGTTGCTGTGAGCTGTGACATGACAGCACTATAACTAGGGTGACAGTTTGATACTCTGTTTCAAAAAAAAAGAAAAGAAAAGAAAAAGAAAAAGCCTGGCACAGTAGTACATGCCTGTAGTGCCAGCTATTTGGGAATCTGAGGCAGGAGAGTCACTTGAATCTAGTAGTTCAAGACCAGCCTGGGCAACATTGCAAGACCTTGTCTCTAAAAAATTAAAATATAGAAAAATGATTTAATAAAAAAGGCACATAAAGGGGCACATAAAAGTTAAGGCTTTTGATTTCAGAACCTTTTATGCTCTTAAACATCATCTAGGATGCCTAATAGCTTTTGTTTATGTTAGGTATAGCTATTGATATTTATCATTTTAGGAATTAAAATTTTATAAATATTAATTCATTAAAAAATAATTAACCCATTTCATGTTAACATATTTTTATGAAAAAATATATTTTTTTCCAAAATAAAAAAATAGCAAGATAAGTGCCATCATTTTTTTTCTTTAAATATGGAGCACTTCGCGAATTTGTGTGTCATCCTTGTGCAGGGGCCATGCTAATTTTCTCTGTAGTGTTCCAATTTTAACACATGGGCTGCCGAAGCAAGCATGCCATTGTTTTTTTATTTTTGCAAATTTCTTTAAAGACTAGCTTATAGAGGACAGCTAGATTCTCATATCTGCTTCTGCATGGAGTCTGTTGGATATCACATGTCATGTAGCTGCTGGAAAACTACTCTGCATGCTTGTAAGAGAGTTAATTTGAAAAAGATATGTAAGCATCTTAATGTTATGAGAATAATTTTAATTTCATAGACCCTGAAAGGCTTGGGCTCCAGGGGTCCCTGGATTTCACTTTGAGAATCACTGCTATTGGCAAGCCCTTAGGAATTTTGCTTCAATTGTGTTGGAGATACAGTATCTTCTTTTTGTTAATATTTCTTAGAACCCTGATTGCCAAATTAGAATACTCTTCCTTGACAGAATGATCTTCAAGTGATAGGTGGGGGTGAGAAAGCAGGTGGAATGGTTTCTATCCTGGTTTTTTTTTTTTTAAATCATATTTGTGCACATTAATTCTGTAATGGGATAAAGTGTGTTGTTTCCATATACAATTTGAAATACTTTCATCCAATTGGCCAACATAGCCGTCATGTCATTCTCATGATTGTTGTGTTAAGACATTTATATTCGACATTTAGAAAGATTCACATGTACCCTTATAGGATAAATTATAGGCGTGATCCCCACAATCACCCTCCCTGCACCCATCCTCCCCCCTCCCCTCTGTCTCCCCTTTCCATATTCTTGGGCTCCATTTGGATTATAGCTTTCCTATGATAGTTAACAATTAGTTTCATAATAGGGTTGAATACATTGGATACTTTTTCTTCCATTCTTGAGATACTTTGCTAAAAAGAACGTTTTCCAGCTCCATCCATGTAAACATGAAGGAGGTAAAGTTTCCATCTTTCTTTATGGCTGCATAGTATTCCATGGTGTACATATGCCATAATTTATTGATCCATTCATGGGTTGATGGGCACTTGGGCTTCTTCCATGACCTAGCAATTGTGAATTGGGCTGCAGTGAACATTCTGGTACAGATATGTGTATTGTAGCGTGATTTTTGGTCTTCTCAATATATACCTAGCAGAGGAATTACAGGGTCAAGTGGCAGATCTATATTTAGATCTCCAAGTGTTCTCCATATGACTTTCCAAAAGGGACATATTAGTTTGCATTCCCACCAGCAGTGTAGAAGTGTTCTCTTTTTTCCACAACCCCACCAGCATCTGTGATTTGGGGATTTTGTGATATGGGCTAATCTTACTGGTGTTAGATGATATCTCAAAGTAGTTTTGATTTGCATTTCTCTGATGATTAGGGATGATGAGCGTTTTTTCATATATCTGTAGGCCATGC